TTATAACTAAAGTTTTCTTTCAACGGAAGACTTCACTTCCTCTATTTACTTTGAATCTTCTATTATATTTTATTTATTAAATTTCTTCAGAAAAGTGTTCTATCAAATCTAGTATACATAAGATGATTACAGTACTAAAGCAAAAACGAACTGATGAGACAGTCTCATAAAGCGATGAATCACTAATTTTTCCAATGATTGATATTTTAGTGACTTTTGCAATAAAATATTATGATCTGTAGAAGGCTAAGATTTTATGTTGAAACAACTCACTAAAATAATCATCACTCAAAAAAAAAGAAAGAAAAATCTTCTAGATTTTCTGTAGTCTGAATGAGATAAGATATATCTTAACAGCAATTTATCACTAGGCGAAATTGTTTCGTGAATATGTAGTTTTTTTTTTCTATTAGACTCTACAAATAGATTCTTTCTATTCTTACTCGTTTGTTAAATAATACATAGTGAAGGTCTTGTTACGTAAGAACGAATAATTTTTATATATTAACTGTAGAAAATCTGACAACAACTCAAAATATATCTTAATTAACAAGGAAACTTTCTCGAGATGTCAAATCACTCTCCGACTGGGACGATATTTATTTGATGAGTAATAGAAAAGTCTAGAATGATTTGATTTTTGCGAGTCTTTGTTCTTGAAATCGATATTCGACTTTAAATTTTGTACGAACAAAATTCTTAATGAGATTAGTTAATAAGTTTAAAGTCGAAAACCGATTTTTCATGTGATCTGAGGTTATCTCAAGAGTACAGGGCCCGCAAAAATTAAACCATTCTAGACTTTTCTATTACTCATAAAATGAATATTGTCTCGATTGAAAAGTGATTTGGCACTTCGAAAAAGTTCCCTGGTAAGAAATGTCTAATAGAGTCTTTTTGTCGTCCTATTCAAAACTTTATAAATCCTATCGTCTTTCTCTTGTTACTAGGGACTCGATTATTGTCACAGTATGGGCATCATGCATCGTGATGTAAAAGTAAGATATTCTTTTTTTTTTTCTAGTTTCATAAATAAATATTTTTCTTTAGCCTCACAATGTGATGATTGATCATGAAAATCGAAAAGTAAAAAAAAATACTCTACTTTTTTTATTAATATGAAATTATGTTAAATAAATATAATTTAGTTACGATTAATTGATTGGGGCTTAGCTGAATTCTATCATCCAAATCAAGAATATAATGTTCGAGTAGCATCGCGTTATTTTAAAGGACCTGAATTACTTGTTGATTATCAATATTATGATTATTCACTTGATATGTGGAGTTTAGGTTGTATGTTGGCTAGTATGATATTTCGTAAAGAACCATTTTTCCATGGACATGATAATTATGATCAAGTTGGTTTATCTTTTTTTAATCTATGGAAAAAAAAAATAATAAATTATATTTCTTTTTGTTATTTAAATAGCTTGTTCGAATTGCTAAAGTACTTGGTACTGATGAACTTTATGAATATCTTGAAAAATATCAAATTGAACTTGATCCACGTTTTAATGAAATTCTTGGACGGTAAAAAGAAAAGCAAAAGAACATTTTTTTTTAATTTGATTTATTTTTAATGATTTTAAAGACATTCACGAAAACGATGGGAACGATTTGTTCATTCAGAAAATCAACATCTTGTTAGTCAAGAAGCACTTGATTTCTTAGATAAACTTCTCCGTTATGATCATAATGATCGTTTAACAGCTAAAGAAGCTATGGATCATCCATATTTTTGTATGATTCAAAAAAATTTTAATTTCAAATTTAATTTGTTTTTTTTTTCTTTTATTTAGATCCTATTGTTCGTGATCAAGGTCGTCCAATAAATACAACTTCTCAAGTTATACTCTCCAATAATGGTATATAATATCTATTTTTTTTAATGTTTTATCAAATTTTTTTGATTATTTTCAGCTGGTGCCTCTATATCTTCAATTAATTCTTCGTCGCCGCTTAATGTGAACAGTAGCGTATCGACGATTAATCAGTGAACAAAAAAAAACATCCATCATGACTATTATTTCATACTGTTCTACAAGACAATCTTTATTGATTGTCTTAATTGTTCTGCTTCTTCTTTTATTTTGTAGCAGTGTGAATATTTACAGAGAAATATCAAACCTAACTTTATCTATGCAGGATAATGGGAATATGACATATGCCATATGAAAATAATTTGTTCATCTATGTTATATATATTTTTTTTCTTCTTTCAACGATCGATCGTATGGATCTTCTGTGTTTGTTCTTCTTTCTATAGTTTAAATGTTACAAACAAAAAAAAAAAGCATTTTTTTTTCTTTTCGTTAAATATGCACCATAAAAAAATCCCAACTAAACAAGAAATCTCGTGATTGTCTCAATTCTTTGTAGATTTTCTTATTCTTTTTGAAAAATGTCCAATGATCAAGAACAACTGGAACAACCACCACCAGATTTTGGTCATGATGATGATGATAACAATACTACTAATACGAAAAATGATGATTCAATGTATGTATCAGCTATGTCACCAGCAACAGTTGACATATCATTAAATGGTGAAGATGATGATGAAAATCCATTTGGTGAACCATCGACGACAAGAGAAAAAACACCAACGAATACAACAAATACTGTTGAATCATATGTTGATAATGAAAAGACTTTATTTCAACCGGATAAAGCAACGCTCGAAATGGATGAAGATGATAAAGATTTATTTGGATCAGAAAATACAAGCTCTAATGAACCACCAATAGCTGCTGCACCTCCATCACCTACTGTTGTACCGGAAAGACAACTATCAACACCGGTAAGAAAGGAGACATCATATTTTTCAATTAATTCAAATTTTAATTTATCACAGCCATCAACACCACTAAAACAGGAGACTTCATTGTATCCAAATGTGAATACAGTACAACCTGTACAATCAAATACAAAATATGAAAGTCAGATTTCATCATCAACACCAACGCCGAAGAGTGTTTTAAGTGAATCAACAACAGAAAGTAAACCAGTACGAAAACGTTCGCAAGAACATACTATTGAAATTACTGTTAGTGATCCTACGAAAGTTGGAGAAGTGAGTTTAATTATTTCTCTCTCTCTCTTTCTTTCGATTTTGTTCATGTTCTATTTCTCTAGGGTATGTCATCATATATGACATATCGTATAACAACAAAAACAACATTACCAATGTTTAAAAAACCAGAATTTTCAGTTCAACGACGTTTTAGTGATTTTCTTGGTTTACATGCTAAACTTGTTAATAAACATTCACATGTTGGTATTATAGTTCCATCACCTCCAGAAAAAGATTCATTATCAATGGCAAAAGTTAAAATATCTAAAGATGAATCTATACCAACAGATTTTATTGATCGACGTCGTGCATTATTAGAACGTTATTTAAATCGTTTAGTACGACATGAAAAATTACTTGAAGATTCTGATGTACGAGATTTTATTGAAATGCCTAATGAATTACCTAAATCAACAAATACACAAGCATTAAGTGGTGCTGGTGTTTTACGTGCATTAACAACTATATCAAATCAAGTTACAAAAATAACAACAAAAAAAACTGAACAAGATCAATGGTTTGAAGAAAAACATGTATTTGTCGATGATTTACATAAACATTTAAAACATTTATATAATCAATTTAATACATTATTTTCACAACGTAAAGAAGCTGGACATGCATTAAAAAATTTCCACCTATCTCTTAATCATTTAGCTACAACTGAAGAACATCCATTATTATCGAGTGCATTAATAGAATTAGCTAATCTTAAAGAAAAATTAGATCAAGTTCATAATGAACAAGCTTTCAAAGAATATTCAATATTAACAGAATTGATTAAAGAATATGTTTCTTTATTAGAAATGGTTCAATTAGCATTTCATGAACGTATTAAAGTACATCAACAATGGTTACATGCTGAAGATACATTGAAAAAGAAACGTGAAACAAAAACAAAATTAGAACAATCCCCAAAAAGTGCTGATAAATTACCCCAAGCTGAAATGGAAATACGTGATTGGGAAGGTAAAGTTGTTCGTGGTAAAGAAGATTTTGAAAATATATCGACAACAATTAAACAAGAAATGGATGTATTTGATCAAACACGTATTGATGATTTTAAAGTAGCAATTGATCATTATTTAAATGAATTATTAGAACAACAAAATAAAGTTTTACAAATTTGGGAAGCTTATTTACCTGAAGCAAATAAAATTAATGTGTGATTTAATTGTTTTATTTTTTTTTTCTTCCAAATGATAAAATGTGATTATTTTTATTTATTTTTTTTTTATTGTTTGTTTTATTTTTTTTTAGTGCAATCTTTTTCATACATTTTTACTTTAATATACTCGAGCTATATAATGTTGCAATTTTTAATGAATGATTATTTTTTAAATGATTTTCTTTTAAAAAAAAAAGTAATTATTTTTGTTTTGATTGATTTTATTTTGTATTTTATTATTTAAAAAAATATATGAAAATGATGGTTTAATTTGTAGATATATTTGATATATTTATGGATATTATATAAGTAATTTTTCGATTTCAACAATATTCTGTTTCTAATATTATTCATTGTAAATTAGGAAATATTCTCGATCAAGTACATTTTAAATAATAAATGTATTTGTTCCACCATCAATGGTTTACATAATTGCTGATGATCCAGTAATACATGAATGCTGTACATAAGATAGTCTACTTCCATTATTAATGTGGATACGACAAGGATAAACGTATTCAACATCATATATTGGTATATATATATATATTGTTGAAAGTATTAGGATGATAATCATGGTTGTTGCTGAAAAATTATGTAAATAGATATTTTTTAATTTTGATCTAATTGTTATATGTGATGAAACTATTATTGTACAAATACCAAATAATGGATGAAAGTAAATTTACAAGCAAAAATGTTGACAGAGTGAAGACCAAATTTTTTTTTAATATTTGATTATTTAATAAATCAATGTTATTTGATTATTTTGATATTTTTAGGTTTGATTGTAAAGATTTTTGCTTTTTGTTTATTGATCTCTTTAGACAATTTTTTATTGTATATATATATTTTTTTTTGTATATAAGTATTGTTATAATAGTACAAATATAGTTAATTATTAATAAGAAAAAAATCTTGTTTGTTTTTGTAAGAAGATAAAAAGTAAGAAATTATTTTTTTTTGTGTAAGAAATGTAAAAATAAAAGGATATTCAATGTTGATAAAATCCTATTCTTTAGACAATATGAATCAATTAGTTGAACAGAGTTTATCAAATTTAGTTCAAGAATTAACTACATCTGGTTCAAAAATATTAAATGAAGAAAAAATAAAACAACTTAAACAGATTTGCAAGTAAGTCGATTAAACAGATCATTCATGTTATATAAGCTGAATGCGAGTTTTGACAAGACTACAAATAATAGGTTAAAGAATGAAAAAAAAAGCTGTTAGCACAATTCCTACAGGATTAAAATGTGAAATACGATGTAGCTTTTATTGCTGATCATAATGAGAACACATGTCTTCACCATCCTATTGCCTAATCCTCCAGAAATGCAATAAGGAAATAATTCATATATTATAGCGAGACGTTATTGATATACGGTCTTTGATTATATATTCATAATGTCTGTCGAGTTCGTCTCTCATCGCTGGTAACGTTTCCATGGTAATGTCTGTCATAGTCTGTGAGGAAGAAGTACACATTTCTATCCTATGTACTTCAACACTCCTTTTAGATCATGTTTCACAATAAATATGATCCATATTTATGATAATATCTTGAAAGTTTTAGTTTCAAACTAGATTTCCTTGGGAAGGTATTCAGTAGTCGAGAAACTCGAGTTTTAGATCTTTGATGTAATACACATTTTAAAGAAATGCTAAATCGTGTCATGACAGTGGCGTTATTCATTACTTTTGGTAGAGATTTTACGAAAGATTTTCTTGGATATTGAATTGAAGAAAGGTGGGCATTGAGACGAATCATTGTTCAATTATCCCATTGGTTTCTTACTAAAAAGGATTTTCAACAGACGGATAATCATCTCAACGAATAAACAAACTGCTTAGGGTTGACCAAAAATTCTAACTCCGATGTTTAAAGAACCTTGTCGAATAAGGTAACCTATTGAGAAATGAAAAATGAAATATACCATATTGTAGAGCTTTTTGAAGTGCGTCGAATCGTCTATAGTAAATCCTGTTTTCATAAGACTTTGAAGGAACTAGAGTCAATTTACTGATAGATGACTACACACCCAAGCATGATAAGTTACTGGATATTGTGGTCCTTGGTATTAGTTGAAAGTATTTGTAAAATTTTTTTTTTCACATACGATTTTGTAGAATTTTTGACGGGCTACACTCGCATATACGCAGCATCTCCAGTCATCTTGTCAGTGTAGGTATGGGTGGGTGTGTAGTTGCCTATCAGTAAATTGACTCTAGTTCCTTCAAAGTCTTATGAAAACAGAACTTACTATATACTATTCAACGCGCCTCAAAAAGTTCTACAACATGATATATTTGGTTTTTCATTTGTCAGTAGGTTGCCTTATTCCGCAAGGTTCGTTAAATACCGGGGTTGCAACTTTTGGTTAACTCTAAGTATTTAGCCTTCTATCAATCTCATTGAGTCCAACAAAATAATACATTGGCACATAAGTTCTGAGAGGATTTTTTGTGCTGTAAGCAAGTTTGAGACTTTATATTTCGTGATTGGAAAGTGATAGAGGTCTGAAATTTTTAGTGTAGATAGAAGTCATAGAGATTTATCTACATTAAAAATTTCAGACCTCTATCGCTTTCCAATCACGAAATATAAAGTCTCAAATTTGCTTACAGCACAAAAAAACCTCCAGAACTTATGTGTCTATGTAATATAAACTAAATCATACATTTCTTTTTATTAGACATTATAATTGATTAAGATGAAATCTCTTTCTTTGTTTAATAAAAGTGTTTATACTGAAAATTTGATAAATTTTTGATCAAACATGTTTGAATTGTCTCAGACATATCTCTACGTTGCAGCGCTGCAGGATAGTTCCGAATTCCAAAAAATTTCTTTTGCTCCATGCCGCGAGATATTTGAAAATGACATAGCAGGGAAGATGTTTCAAAATTACTATCGCGGCAACGACGCGGTAATCGTGACTCTTCTAGGACTTCGACACAGCAGCTGCGATGAACATTTTTGGACTGTAGTCTAAGTTTCTCACTTTAATTTTTTATTCACAGACAAACTGATGTCAATGTTGAATATTGTTATCGTTTGTTAATTGCTCAACTTGATAAATATCATTCAGAAATTCGTTATTCAACAGTTCAAATAATTGATCAACTTTTTAATCGTTCTCATCATTTTCGAACACTTTTACTTGATGATTTTAATTATCTGATTGATAAATGTCTTGGTAATTTCTCACAAATAAATAAGTTCGTCTTGTTTTTTTTTGATTAATTAAATATTCAGGATTAAATGTTGATAATCAATTACCTCCACCAAATCAAACAGCTAAATTATTAAAACAATTTACAGCAATGTGTATTAAAAAATGGCATGAAAAATTTGGTACAACTTATAAACTACTTGATATTGGTTATAATTATTTAAAAAATTGTAAATTTCTAAATTTTGATAACGTTGATGAACCAGTTGGTATTACAGCTCAATTACAACGTGAACAAAATCAAGCTAATCAAATTCGTCTAACACAAAAACTTCAAAATGTTACACAAGAATTAAATGGTTTGTTTCAAATTTTTATTTGAAAAAAAAAATAATTCTTTTATTTATTTATCATTTATAGAAACATCAAATGAAATTTATTCTTGTATCGAACAAGCAGAAAATTGTCTTAATTTACTTGTATCTAATAATGAGAAAATATCGATTCCGACAAGATCTGTAGAACCAATCGAAGAAATTGATAATGATGATGATGATGATGATGATGATGATGACGATGACGATAATGACGATGATTTTATAGATGTTCCACTTGTATCAACAAAGAATAATGATCAAGAACTTCTTCAAGTACTTGGTCTAGGGACAGCAGGAAAATTAAATATTACAATTAATGTTAATGATAGACCAAAATCATCTTTATTTAATGTAGAAATAACAGATGATAATCGTACAGTAGTTGAAAATCTTCATGATCTTTATCGACAATTAGATGATGTTTATTTAAATAAAATTCAAACATGGATGAATATTTTTATTAAAGTTCAACAAAATTCTAATGAACAACAAACAACAGCTGTTATGAAAAAAGCAATTGATTTAAAAAATTCAATTCAATCCTGTTTAAAAATGATTGAAAATTATCATTTAGCACCAAAACGAACTGTAGTTACACAAAAGCCAGGTCTATTGAAAATTCATCAATATATAGTGGCTTCTAAAATTATACGACTAGGTTTATTTTCAATTTTTTTCTGCTGTCGAAAACACGAAGAACAATCGAAATCATGATTTCAGTAGAGAATTTTATTTTTTTAAACATAAAAATACTAGCTAATTTTTCGAGGATAGACTCTCTGAAAAATCAAAATCCAAGTTTTTCAGGTTCCAAAATTTGCAATCATAATTCTGTCTTAGTTATTCAGAAGGATGTAGCAAACAGTTCTCTACAAAATGAAATGCTCTTCAGCTCTCTACAGCATTTTTTCATCAAGATACATGAAATTTACGGGAGACACCAAAATTGTGTTGCCATATGAAATGACAGAAAAACCAACTTTTGTGCCTTCCGTAAAGGTGATGTGTCTTTATTTTTCGAAGAAAACAACTAGTGTAAGTTTTGCGGCTATTCATTTTTCTTGAAATTTAAGTTGCTGGATCAATATTCTAAATGACACAGTTTCGAATTTTTACATAGATATACGATTATATGATACATATCAAGAATGATGTTTTGATTTCCTATAATACAAAAAGCAGGAACTAATTAAGTTCTAACTTTTGGAAATAATCAATATCAGCATTTCTGAGTAAATCAAAATATATAATAAATTGTTAAGACCTGCTGTAAATATAACGAATGTGTATGACAAGCATAGTTTTCCATTAAATCAACGGCTAGACTAATGATAATAAACCATGAAAATGCAATAAAAACAAAATTTCTGTTTGAATTGTAGAAATAAAAAACCGTAGCATTTGCTGACTATCGATTTTTAGAGATTTTATACTTTGTGTATTTTGTATTAGTATAATAAAGCTAAGTAGGACATATGAATTCCACATTTCGACTACAAAGCAGTTGCGCTAACAAGCTTTTCTTAGCATTTATGGCAGCGAAAAAAATTGAAAATAAACTTGGTCGAATAATTTTAGGAGCGACTATATATATATGCGTGTGTGTAAAATATATTTGAAATATTTTAGCTCCAACGCCTAAAGCTGAAGCTGTGCCTAAAAGTCCACGTATCGAATCGGTATGTATTTTTTTCTTGGATCGATATTACTAGCAGCCTCACTTGTTGTTACCGAACATTAGCATGTAATAAGAAACTGAATCGTAGAAGAAACAAACACATCTCAAGATTTTTGAGGCATAATATTTCATATTTCCTAACAGACATTAGTCTTTATATGATTTGAGTTTTCCTTAGAGACAAAATATTTTACTTGATATGTCTGATCTTTACTTTTTTTTACATTCTATGACGAATGAAATATAAGTATTAGTCACTATAGAATTGTTTAATAGATTTTAAAAAATAAGAAATTTATTTAATTCTAGCCAACAATACCAACGTTAACTGAAGATGAAATAAAATATTTCTTCCATGATGATTCCGAATGTATAAAACGTAGTTTTATTCAACATGATGTTCAAAATGTTTTTGTACGTCCTATAGAAAATAACGATCTACCTGAAGTAAATAAAAAAAAAAGTTTGAAATTTCTCTTTTTTAAATTATTTTTTATTAGAATTTAAATTATTCTGTATTAATGCGTAAACGTACATTTGTTAATGAATTACCTGCTATTAAATGGAAATGTCGAGCGCCATTAGGTAATGGTAAATTATGTGAACGTATGGATCGACGTAAATGTCCATTTCATGGTCGAATTATTGCTCGTAATGAACAAGGTCAAGCTACTGATGAAACAATTCGAATTCAAGAAGAACAACTTGTAAAAAAACGTACTATTCCTGAATGGCAAGATCCTGAAATGTTAGATGATATTCGTTTAGCAACTGGTATTGATTTACGAATGAATAAAGATAATAAAAAGAAGAAAAAAAAGAAAAAAGAATCTGGTTTAACTGAACTTGGTATTGAAGAAGATACAGTACGAAAACGATTAGAAAAAAAATTATTTAATCGGTATTAAAAATACAAAAAGAACTTCATTTAGTTTTATATTTCTTTTATTTATTTAGATCATCACTCAAACGTATTGGTGCAGCATTAGATCGTGATGAGCGACGTCGAAATGAAGAAAAATTTCATCATCAATTTAACTATGCCTGTAATAATTAAAAAAAAATTATATTGTCTTTTTTTTTGTTTTATTTTTTCTTTGTAAATAATAAAAATTAAAGAGGTCCGAGTGTATATATATCATTATACCATCCATTATCATGCCATCCACCAAATAGCCACATATAACCATTATATAAAACTGCACTATGTCCTTCACGTGCTGCTGGTATATTTGAATCTAATTTTAATTGTTTCCATTGATTCGTTTGAAGATTAAGAACAAATAATTCATTACTTCGTTGTATACCAACATAACCACCAAACATATAGAGATTTGCACCAGATAATATACACGTATGACGACCACGTTTAGCTGGAATAACACATGAATCATCACTATATTTTAATTCTGTCCATTCTAGTGTACGAAAATCAAATGAATGACAATCATTAAATTTTCCACAACCTAAACCACAAACTACATATAAACGATCGTTATAAATATGTGCACCACCATATGAACTACGACGTGGTGGTGGATTTCGTTGATTAACAATAGACCATTGATTTGTTTTAAATGAAAAACGATACATATCATTAAATTTATTATCACCAATACCACCAAATAGATACATATAATTTTGATAAATAGCAACAGAATGTGCACTACGTGCACGTGGTGGATTTGAACAGGAAACAATTTCCCATTGATTTCGATCAAATATATATCTATACATATCATTTAATTTACCTGATGAATCCCAACCACCAAAAATATACATCATATCTTGATATATACAAGCACTATGTTTACATCGCTTTGATGGAACTTTTGATTCATCAATTAGTTTTATTTCAGTCCATGTATGAGATTCAAAATTAAATTTAAATAAATCATTAAAACGATATTCACCTAAACCACCAAATATATACATAGAACCATTGTAAACTACAGCACTATGTCCACTACGTGCTTGTGGTGGAGAATTTATTGTTTCAATTCGAGACCATGCAAGAGATTCATTCGTCGACATTACTTCTCGCTTTAGAAAAAAAACAATATATATATTTTTACTGCTTGTTACACTTTTTAGTCATTCTTCACGATGATTCATCAAGGAACTTCGAATGTTTTATTGTGAAAGAACATGAGAAAAAGAAAAAATAAGTTTTCATAGCAGCGATTGTTGATTTAAATTTCTTAGTTCTTTTTTTATTCATGCATTCGTTAGCAAAAAGGAATCGGACGGACATTGCAGTGTCAGTCAATGCTTATGTATATATATATATATATGTATATTTGTTGTTTTTTTTGTTATAATGGTATTCATCTCAAATATATCTTTTTTTTGTTTTTGCGCATTCAAGTCAATAACCATTTTCATCATCCAATGATTTACTACGTATATATGAAAATGAATTATGATTTTCGTTCATAATTAATGACTAAAACAAATAAATAAATACATGATTACAAAAATTTTCAAATGAAAATTTCTTTACCATTTTTTCTTCTCTTGCTGGTGGATTTCGTAGATATAACATCAGAGGTGCATAGCATAAAGATAGAAATGAAATAACATAAAGCATAGTACGAAAACCAAATGCATGTACAATAAATCCACTTAAAGCTGGACCTATTTTATAAATAAAAGTTATAAAAATTTCTTTTTAAAAAGAAAAAAAAATGTTAATGTTTATACCAATAGCATAACCAAGACAAAATGCAACATCGGCAATAGCATAAACACTTCCATATACAGATACATGACGTATATCAACAAGATAAGCCATTGTAGGCACCATTGATGAATCAACCATACCAATAGCAAAACCTAGAAGACCATTAGGTATAATTAAACCATAGATACTTGTAGCCATTGGTACACCAATTAAAGCAATTGAAATAAGAAACAAACCAATCATACAGCATAGCCAACTAGAATTCAAAAGTAAATTTTAGATAAAAAAAAAAAGATTCTTTAATCTTGCCGGCCCATTCTGTGAGCCATTGGTCCAAAAAGATTTGTACCGATTAAATATGAAATTGATGCAGGTAAAAATGCAGCCCCTAGAGTTTTGCTTCTATATACTAAATTGAAATTTAATAAAGTATCAAACCTTGTTCGAATTCTGATGCTCTCATTGTTGACATCATCCATATTGGTAGTGAAGGTTCCATCATGGCAATACCAACATTACCAACTGAGATTGCACCTAAACTTTTCAAACAATGACTTTTATAGAAACATTTGACTTTTTATTTACCAGCAGCCAATAGAATATATGGATCTTTAATAAGTGTTTTTAATGAAGCACCTTCAATTGGTTCGCCAGATACGCCAGGTTTTAATACCGTTAATTGTAATACTATCGATTAAAAAATAACACGATTATAAAAAAAAAGAATCATCCGAAAAGAATGCATTCTTACATCCGTCAAATAAACCTAATGTAGCTAATACTAAAAATGGTGATGCTTTACCTACATATTCATACATAAATCCTCCAAATGGTGGTCCAACTATAATCAACAATCAATTAATAGTCATCATATAGATAATATAACTTACTTAGCACACCAAGTGCTAATCCACCTAAAGCAGTACCCATGGCTTTTCCTCGTTCTTCATCTTCTGGATATCGATCAGCCAACATACCGAGACCTATTGAGAATTGACATAAGCTATCTGATAGGTTTTTGTTGTTACCTGATACACTTGAACAAGATGATCCAATACCTTGTATAGCTCGAGCAATGAATAGAAGGCCAAAACTTTTACTAAAAGCAAATACTAAAAGAAAAAACAAAACATAAATCATTTTTCTTATCATCAAAATCTTCAATAGTATATATGTATACTGAGAGTCGATATAAACATAATAGTAAAACCCGAAAACATTGGAATGCTATAACCAACACTAAAAAAATAACAAATATTATTTATTATAATTTTGTTTATTTTTCTTTTACCGATTTGTTAATGGACCAACAAATGGATTTGTTAATAATTGAACAAAAGCTTTTGATGCAAACATTATACCAACCCATTTATTTTCCTTTAAAGAAGATAAATATGTTGTTTTTTTTTTCTTATTTATTTATTTCTCTATTTATTATCATCAATTTTACTTCTTCTAAAATAATTGTTCGTTGTTTATTTTCAATTTCAGTTCTATTTATTGCCCAATCAAGAGTCCAATTACAATATGTTCGAAGCAATAGACGAAACTTAGCAGGATTTCGAACAAAATAATTTCGTTGTCGTATTATTTCACTATTTGAGCAATTTTTTGCTAAAAATTTAAAAGTATCATTATTGAAGATTTTTGGTTGTTGCAAATGATAAAGATAATCAGGAATAATAGGAACTTGAATAAAAGAAAAAGAAAAAGAAAAAGAATAAAAACTAGAAATTATATTTTAATAAAATTTATATTCAACTTACCAACGGTCGTTAAAAGCATATTGTCAAGAAATAAAGCGACAAATACGATAAATAAAATAAGTACACGAGATGAACGCCATTTTTGCCAGAAATCTTTTACTGTTTGAAGATTTAGATACTCCATTTCTTTTTTAATTTTAACTAAAGAAAAAACATCGTCATAATAATAAAGATTCCGATTGATCTCGTTCTTTTTTTTTCTAATATATGATACTCGATCATGAGCTTTAAAACAAAAGCTTTTAATATATAACAAAATATATTCAAGTGGATTTAATGCATAGATAAAGAATGGGAATAAAACAAAAAAGACGGGAAAATAGCGGAAAATAGAAAATCCCTATCGATGAGCATTTTATTTGAAACTTTATATTTTTTCTTGTATTCGATAGATGAACTTCCAGTAAGGTCATAAATCTTATTTAAGTTACAGTAGACGGCGGCTCTTTTTCTTTCTTTTTTTTTTTCTCCGCCAAAAATGTCGTTCACTGTGTTTATCGATATAATTGCTTGTCTTTGTTCTCTTCTACATTCATAAACCATCATAATCATACATTAACATTCGATCATTCTTTTGTTTCAATCTATGATTATGTATTTATGAATTCATTGCAAGAAAAAAAAACTATCAAATACAAACCTTCAAAAATACAAGTCAAAAGATAACTAAACAAGCTCACAGGGAAAGTTCCAAATAAATTTTATTATTTTTTTTCGACATAATATATAGTATTAGTAGACAAAGACGTTAATGAACGTCATATTTTTTTTGATAATAGAAAATAGGCAATGAGAAGCGAAGAAAGAAAAAAATAGTCATCAATTTTTTTTATTTTTTTTTCTAAGATTGAGCGGAGACCATAAATACACATATAAAAAAAAGGCAACCGTTACAAAAGCATCTGCTCAACATCTTCAACGAAAGAAAAAAGAAATGAGTGATTTATTTTCTTGTTTCATACTAAAAATCTGTTTTCTAATCACGATGTTCGTTAGAAGTAGAAGACGAAGAAAAAAAGACTATAGAAATAAATGATCTAAATTAACAAATCATAGAATGTCATTTCTTTTTTTCTCTTGAAATTTGATCACAAATATGTCAACCAAATCAATGATACATCAAACAACAATACTAAGAGAACTCTCATGACAACTATCTTCAATTAGCATATCATAAAAATCAGTTGTCTTCAAAATGACTTTAATGATGAATATGTCATGCAAGAGATATAAGATTAATAGACAAAATCGAATATTTTTTTCATTAAGTTATAATCCAAAGAAAAAAAAACCGATATATAATTATGTACGATATAAAGAAAAACTAATTATTATTGTCAGGAAATGGATAAGAACACTTATACCACCACATATAAATGTTATAATAAGTAATGGCATCAAACTTGTTGTATTTGTTTTTGATAATAAACTATATTCATATTTAGCCTATAGAAATAAATTAAAATTTAGAAATAACTAAAAAAAAAAATCAATAAACTCACCCAATAAGTGATATATACTAAATGAGTAATTTGTATTATTGCTAATATATAAAAAATAGTCCATACAATCCAATGACGAGATTTGTTATCAGTCTAAGTTATAAAATATTTCATTATCGCAAAGCAACAATAAAATTCATTTCTTTACCAAAATTTTTCCTATTAAAAACCATAAAAAAATAAGTGGAATTCCAATGAATAATATAAGTATTTGATATCGACCAAAATCTGCTTGACTACGAACATTCAATATTAATAAAGAAATCTACAAAATAAAATTTTCTCTTATAATTTTCTTATATATATATATATATATATATATCTACACACAGTTAACATTGAATCGAGGTTTAGAAACCAAGAAAATATTGCTGCTCGAGAATAATTAGTTTCTATTTTAGTATTCATTCGATATGAATGTATTATAATACCTGTCCATGGTATTAATATAACCAACATAACAAGTACAAAACCTAATCGAAGCTTAAAAGATGAAAAAAAAAGTATGACATCATCAACAATACTAATTATTTTCTTACAGTCATAACAGTAAAATCATCTTTTGCATGATGATTAAGCAAAAAACGAATATAAAAATGTATACCAGTATATGTCGATAGAAGTATAATTGTTAATGTTGTTAAAAGACCATCAGTAATACCTGAAGAAAAGAGTTCATATGTCTTTTTTTTGTTTTCTTTGATTTATATTTCATATAATACTTACGACAAAATAAAGCTGTTGTAATCATAGAAAAAATAACACATCCTAAGAAAAATAATTTTAGATAAATTTTATTTCATATGAACAAACCTGAATGAACAAGAAGTAAAAGACATATAGCAAATTCATTATTTTCTCGTTTCATATTTCGAATTTGTCCAAGTGTAAGAAGAATAATTGGAATCATTGTTAAAATTCCTACTAAAGCATAAAACCATCTTTGTAATATGAATTTTTTATTCATCAAATTTTGTTGTTCGTCTATGACAGGTTTGTAACTCATATTAATTATTACAATCAAAATACAACAATAACACACAACTTCTTTCTATTTAATATTAGTAAGTTCATGTACAAATTTACCTTTTCTTTATCTTCATTCATACAAAGTACGTGTCATTCAATACAATACATATATACATATGTTATAGAATGTTTAATGGATAAAAGAAAAATATTTCTTTCAATGTCAAATGTTTACTAATTTGAATAACTTCCTTTCGACGACGTGAGAAAGCTAATTGGGCATTTGTATGTTTATATATTTATTTAATAATTATTTTTTAAATGAAAGATTATGCATGGAGCACACAAATGACAGTAGATTGAATGTTGGGCTGTGTTATTTTGTTTTAAAAGGTTGTTTCTTGTTGTACATATTTGTTCTATTAGACAAAACTGTAAATAGAATAAATATCTACAGTATTCATATATATTTTGTATTAGAGACCTGCGAGTCCTTCCAGACTCAGATCCGAGTTTAGAAGTTTAGCTTTTCCGGATCTGAATCCACAAAAATGTGGACCCCCAAACTCTCTATTTTGTATAGCTCATAATAAAATTAATGACGATTCCAGGAATTCATTCATTTATTTCATCAGTTTTCAAAGATAAAAATCAGCAGATGAAATAATAATATGCCAGTAATTGATCGCATCACTTATATTGTTCATTTTTCAAGGATAAGTAAAATAAGCAAGAATTTTTATGTAATGTTCAAATTAATTAAAAGACAAACGTAGCAACGTAAATATCTTGTATTCTTGCATAAAGCTCTACTTAGTGATATTAATATATCCAATGAAAACTCTTACAGAATACTTTTATACAAATTACGTAAAGATTAAAGCATCGAAACCTATTGATTATGAACTGGAGGAAATAACAACAACCTTGCTCGACTGTAGGATTAATACTGTTAGATATCTTTATATTAAAAAAAACATAATCTAAACTGAGTCAATGTTAGACAATTCGCGCGTATGAACCTTATTTAAATTAGCAAAGATTAGAATCAAATACAACTTTGAATTATCTAGAACGTCTCTATCTTCACTGCTGAAGAATGTCGGTAATTTTTTTTTAATTAAAAATATCATCATAATCAATATCTAAGGCGCACAAAAAGAAGTATTCTCAACTGATTGGAAATCAGAACTAGGACAAGGACTTTTGAGAAAATTTAAATATCTCTATTATAATTCCTATACCATTTGAAATAAGTTCACGGTCAATAGGCTCATTTTATCCATCTTCTTGAAGCCTACAAGATGTTAATATACACATTTCTCATATGAACTTTATTCAACAAAAAAATTGTGTTTAAGTACTATTTGCAATATTTCTGCTGTTTATCAACAGATTGGATGGATTAGTGTCTATCGTTGCATACAACGGAAGATGGCAAACAAAATGACCTTATTGGGTTTGTGTTTCATACAAGATATAAAGGTGTTACTGAAAATATACATTCAGTACAATACAGATACCAATCCTAGTTCTGTTCGAAATGAAACTGAAATCAAAAAAGGTCCATAAGCAATTGAACACATTACTGTCACACTAAAGATCTTCACAGGGACGAAAAAGAATTACTCTGTGTCAGTATCTAGTATAAACCAGAGAAGGTTACAGAACGCGTGCCCTCTATATAACCTATTTTATCATACAATGGAGTTCTCATCTAGTCGTAAAACTCGTCATGATTGTCCATTATTATCAATAGTAGTTAGAAGAGTATATACTATATCCGTGACTAGTGCTTTGGTGAAAAGGCTATTTAGCTTAGCTGGATTGACATATACTCAAAGACGGACACATTTATCACGAAGTCAAATTGACAACATTATTTATTTGTTCTTATAAGAAATTCAAGATAAAATAATAAAACGGAAACTTATCCGTTCTCGTTATCCGACTGTTTATATTGATTACATTTTGAATCCTATATTTTTATGTTTGTTTTGCTTATCTTATGAATAATAAATACTTTTTCTATATTTGATTTCATTTTTATTAACATGATTATATTGTAAATGGTTTTTGTATCAATAGAAGGTCTATGATATTTAACATCGTACCTCATATAATACAGACAAGTTTAATATCGTTGTCAAAAAAAGCAAGGAAACATCGCCCTGCAGGCCGAACGCAGAAAGATTCTTTGTTCTGCAAAACAGGATGATTGAGTAAAAATATTCTGCAGAATACAAAGCAGGACAAAAAAAACGTGTCCTACGGCGCTTTCTAGTGTGAACTGAATTGGAAATCATATAAGTCTAAAAACTTGTCATTAACACATGCAATAAGAAAATCTATTTGAACCAGCTCAAGATATCAACAATATTGGTTAGCAGATCTTTCTCAGATGATTGATTGTCTGTTCGAAAAAAAAATTAGCAGTGTAAAAATACTTTCTTCTATTATGGTTTCTACCTGAGAAATAGTATTCTTATATTCAATCTAATGAAAAGAAAACTTGAGAAAATATTGAAAATAATTTCGAATAATCATGAATAATAATATTTATTTTGAAAATTAAAAGAAATTTTTAAGCATAATAATATGTATAAATAAGAAAAGTTCGTAGCAATATAACACAACATAAAAAAGTTTAATATCTCGTAGAAAATACTTTATCATTATCTATTGATGGTTTAACTGACGCATATCGAGCTTTAACATCTTCTTCAGCATCATCATCATCATCATCAATATATTTCAAAGTTTTATGCAAATTTTCATCTTCTTCTGAAATATCAGATAATTTAATATGTACTGCACTTATATGTATAACTGCATCTATTGGATTAATATCTGATTCTTGTTGATTATTTAATAATAAACTTGATGTTGATTTTGAAGTTAATGTATGATTTGATTGACTTAAAATTGATGTTGATGTTGTACTCAATGCTGATGTAGTAGATTCAATTCCGCTATCTGTTCTTGAATAAAAATTTTTTTTAAATAAATAAAAATTTTCTTTATTCAATGAAGTTTTATCATTCATAAATGTTGATACAAGTTCTCCAACAGCAACTACACCTTCATTTAATAAAACACTATTTTTATATAAATTATCACGTGTTTCATCTAAACGATGTAATAATTCAATACGTAACATTTGAATATCTTGTTTAAGTTCTTCAAAATCACCTTCACGAATTTCTTCTTGTTCTTCACGTTGTTTATTTAGAAGAAAACGTTTTATAACACGATTCATTACTTTACGGTAAGTTAATGTTTGATTTATATCAAATGATCCTTGTCGTGATCGATAATTATTCGGATCATTTAAATTTACATTTGATATTTGTCTATTTGTTAGTGTTGATATACCATTACCATTTAAATTTGGTGTTCGAAGACCTGTTCCTGATGAATTATTTGTTGGTGATAAAGAATTATTTGTATTATTTGAAACTAAATTTTCTTCATTAGAACCTTTTAATATTTTTATACAAGAAAATATTCGATGAAATAAATAATAGACACTTTTTGGTGTTGGAATAATATTAAATGGAACTGGTAATGTACCACCTATAATTGAATACAAGACAACATAGTAATAATTTATATTAATTAAAAAAAAAATCAAAGAATATTATATGCAACTTCGAGATTTATTTCTAATTATAAATATACTATAGTTAATTTACGTTTAAATTAGTCTACTTGAATCAACTTTGATTATCTTCTAAGTAATATAATCTTATTCTATTGTTATTTTTGATTGTATTTATTTCGTTTCAAATTTAAGACAACTGTATTATCTCGAGTTGAATTAAATTATGGAAATGGAGTATTGTAATGATACGGCTTTTCTGATTTTGTACCTTATTCAAACAGATCTATTTGCACAGTTATGAAAATATTCTTAACAAAAACATCGATGATGAAATGTATACGAACTAATATCAATTTTTTTTAAAGTTGCTTGGAGAGAATGCTTGTAATTTTTGAAGGAAAAGTCATAGAGACCTGCTATTTTCATTGTTGGATAGAGTACAGTAGGACATAAAGTACTATGGAATAGTCCAGCCTTCAGATAATGTTTACTACGATAAACCTTTGAATGCAAATTTGACAAAATTGTCTTTTTCCAAATTAATGACGAATTTTGATTTTCAAATAGTGAAATCAAAAGGCTAGATTAAGATCTACCAGTTCTAAACCGGTCCTGTGTCTGTATCTCTTACAGTTCGGGAGTTATGAGCATTCTTAGTAAAGATATCTACTTCAAATAAACAACGCCACCATGCTCAGAATATCTGATAATCCATATATCAAGTGTTTTATAGAATTATTGTCTGTGTCCAAGTAGGAGTAGATACATTTGATAAGAATGCTTATGACTGCCGAACTGTAAAAGATACAGATCTAGGATGGGTTTAAAATTGTAGATCTTAATCCAGGCTATTTATTTCACTATTTGGAAATCAAAATTCGTGATAAACTTAGGAACAGATAATCTCATCGAATTTATATTCAAAGATTTATCATAGTAAACCTTATCTGAAGACTTGATTATTCCATAGTACTATGTGCCCCACTGTGCTGTATCCAACAATGAAAACTGCAGGTCTCTATCACTTTCTCTTCAAGAGTTACAAGCATTCTCTTTAAGTGACTTTTTTTTTAAAATCGTTATTAGTTCCAATTGCATAATTTCATTGAGAGTATCAAAGTATGGCTCGACCGGGTCCGATAATTTTGGATATGACGGGTTCACAACTATACAGATATTTGAACATCAGTAAACATCTATTTTGAATTTAGTTTTCAAAACAAAAAAAAAGACACATCAGGTCTGATCAGACTTATGCTTATTTGAATGAATTTCTTGTTTTCTAAAAAGCGATAATATCTCAAATTGTAAACAATTTATTGTTGATAAGACAAAAG